CCCCCCCCCCCCCCCCCCCACCATTTCAAATCGAAATCCGCGAAGATGCGTCCGACGCCGAGCAGAAGGACAGCCCGGAGGACGAGACGGAGGAAGCGTCTGATGTCACAACCGGGGGCGGGGACTCGGGGTGATGTCAAAAAAGAGGGCGGGGACTCGTGGTTTTACGGGGGCGGCGGCGGCGGGGAGCTGGAGTCGGACGCGGATGAAACGAAGGTGAGGTTGTTAGTACAATGCTAACATCGTTGTAATCACCTTTGGCCGCTCCGCGTCCGATTCTGGGTCCCCGGTTTCGACGTCGTCCCCTTCCTCCTTCTCGTGCGGTTGCGTGTCCTTCTTGTTGTCGTAGGCCTCATCGTTGAGGGATTGCGATTTGTCTTAATAGCGTATGGGTTGGCCTGTCGGAAAAGGCCATTACCAGCAGAGCGATTGATCTGCCTGCTTTAGGGTAGCTTAACTATGACACACGAAGTATTCTAACGCATTGACAGCGACAGACAGGGAGTTGGAGCTCGGTTGGTCTGCCCCGTTGCTTCGACCACCAGTTGTGCCGGAGATGATGACGCTTGTGCTCCCTTCACCGACGGCTTAGTATCTCGTACCTGCATGAGGAGAGCCCTGTCTTCTGTCTTCTTCTCCGACACTCAGGCCAAAGGCTCCAAACTCTTGCACAATAACACTGCTATTACCCCAGCCGCCATCCGGACGATCTCGATACGAAGCCGGCGGTATCGGACTACAATGCACCACCTCCGAACTTGTTTCGACGGTGTCTCTGCCGTCACCCTCACCCCAGGCTGCCCCTCACGGCGTATCATGCCCTCGAGGATGACCGCACAAGAACTACCTCGATCACCGCGGCTAAAACGAAGCTGAAAACCAGCAGAGACAGCCCGGATCTGGTCCCAACTCCGTGTGACTATGATTCAGCCCATCCATGTGTACGTGGGCAAGCACGCCGTCGTGGATTTGACGCATAACTGTTACAACTTCCTCCGGAACACGAGCTCGAGGCCCAGCAGCTCTCCGCCGACCGAGTCATAGGCCTTCTGGAGGTCGACGACGCACACATACAGCGACGTTGTCCATCGCCACCCTAGCTCCTGGAGTCGAAGTACTATGCAGAGCATGCCGATCTTGGATCGACCCTGCCGGGAGCCGCACTCTATTCTACTGGTAGGGTGTCGTGAACTTCGGCAGTAGGCCGTTGGTGACGACCTTCAGGTGCCGTCGTTCTGCCTGCAGTGATCGTCACGGCTGCGGGGTCGTTTAGACCACGCCGCACGACCGACCTGCAGCACCTACACCTGCTGATGAAGCCCTCCTTTAATCGTTGCAGTTTGCGCCTACACCCCCGAGGGAATTGTTCTGTCCCTGTCTCGCGACCTGCGATGCTGAGGTGATGGCCAGGGGGCACTGCGCCGACAAAGCGGTCAAGTTGGTTGTGCCATGAACAGCCAGCCCTAGTTCCTTGCAGTCCTTGGTCAGCCCAAGAATAATGCTCGTCGAATGCTCGAATACGATTGGCTCTCTCATCTCGTTCAGAAGTAGTTGATGACGCCGATGTACAGCAGAACCAATCGACTCACATTTTCCCGAAAACCAAGAACCTCATGGTGAAGAAACGCGGCTGAAACGTGGATCCTGAACCGCATCCTACATGTCCATTTGTGAAACTCAGGGGCACCTCCAACAAAACACAGAGCATGGTTCATGCCTTTGCTGCAGTCGTTGATGACGATGGCAGTGAAGCGCCAACCTTCTTCCGGCAATAACAGACAGAGGCGATGAACACGGACAGGGAAGAGCGTCAAAAGCGGACTTACAAGAGACAGGGAACGGGGGCCAAAATCCGTGAAAACCGCCAGAAGTGAGAGATATCACGGTCGTCATAACAGAGAGATACAGCGAAGGAAAATCGATGAAGGGTGGGTGGAGATTCACCCACCCAAGAGTTCAGAACATGTATGCCGAAAAGAAGACTACGTGAACAAAATGGGGAAGGCTCGGACAAAGTGAACAAGGACAAAGCAGACGCGCACGCCATGCCCTTGACGACGATACCTAAACTCAATGTGATGGGGTTCCTGGACACGGTGGGATTAGATCGAACGAGAGTGTGCACAATTGAGCGGTGGCCGGATTACGGGGCACGTCTCATGAAGAACTTGCGAGTGGGTGGGAAACACGCTGAGGGTGCCTAGCGTGAATCGAAACGCTTTTGGGCGAAGCACGTGTGTGTGCTGATTGGGTTAGCAAATTTCGGTTGAGTACCACTGCAGAGGTTTGCGGAAGAGGTCAGAACCTTTTCCGATGTGATGAATCGCGGGCAACACCAACAACACCGAACAGTATCCATACAACAAGCAGGCGTGCTAAAGAGCAAAATTCGGGCATACCCAGCTGTGCAAAAAGTCAGCCCCGTTGGTTGCTGGACTACTATGACGCAGGGGAAAATCGAAAGGGTTCGGCGAAGGTTTCGTTCAGCCCGTCCATTCGTCGCAGTGCAATTCTCCATAAGCCTAGTTTTGCTTCTGACCCGGTGGGCCAGCGCGATTGGCTCTACGTTCCGCTCGAGATGTTTACGCCGTGCCTTGATCTGGAGATGTTCACGGTAGATTCGACGTGTCTGGCGCGAGCAACGGGGCTTTGCCTGGGTCACAATTTTCGCGAACTTCTGCGCTGATTGGAAGTTTGGCAGAGATTCCTGAAGCAATAGCGGGACACGTTTTTTTCCAACCCCCCAAAAAAACGACGATTCTTCCCTCCCAAAAAGGCGCAGAGGAGTTGCGCACAAGTTCTTTCTCTGCAGCGACCCAGGAAATGGTTTGACTACAGTAGGTTTGGTTTTCCAAAGTCGAACTTCAGTACGAATCTATAACCGCCAAAATGCATCAGCGGAAATCGGCTCCTGCGTGATGGTACCAGCAAGTATTATTGCGGTCCGGGATTTTCGAAACGAGTCCATTTCGTGGAGTTCGGTGAGCTGAAGAGTCTGACCGAACTACTGAAGTCGATAGAAAAATTCAACAATTCTGGCCTCGAAAAAACAAGGACCGCAAATCTGTACTACGAAGTACTACGGTAGTACTGGTACATCACTAGGGCTATATTCCCTAGATACTTCAACATGCTCCCGGAGCGAATTTTCTGGGGGTTTTGGCGATGGCTGATTCGCATGAATTTTGACTTGGTACATGAAACTAGGCAGGTATTTCCTTGGCCGCTGAAGAGGAGATCTACACTACTCCCCTCGCCCCTTAAGATACTGGTGTTTTTCCGACCCAACATGTAGTTTCGGGTCTGCTGAACAAGCAAACTCTTGCGGTGGGTGCCCTGTGCTCTGCATAACACGCACACCTAACGGCGCAACCGCCGTCGAATGGGTTTCTCAGGCCGTGGCGTGTACACCCCATCGGAGAGACGGCTGAAGCTTTTGTGTGAAAAACTCGCGAACTCGCAAGCACTCCCGAGGAAACAGTTGGGTTCTGTGTGCGTCCCCGATCGGAGATCTTAGAGAGAGACGGCTAAGGCCGAAAGGAATGTGAGCACAGTGCGAGCGAGGGAATGGTGATGGATCGGGATGGCCGCAAAAAGGCCCAAGACCCACCTCGAGGGTGCTTAAACCTCGATGCTGCTGCCGTTTCTACCTCCACGCCCTCTCAGCCTCCTTCTCCCCTGCCACGCGTGAGAACGCAAACGACCCCGACGACGACTCGGATGCAAGGTGGAATGTCGGACCGAGCAACACCGAGTCTCCCTTTCCGTGTGCGTCGTTGCTTGTGCCGTCTGGCCCCCCTGTAGCCGCGAACGGGGGCCTCGCCGTGCCGGTGGCGATGTCCCTCCCGATGTTTGCGTCCCACCCAACGCCATCCATGCGGCCGATACTGCCACCGGTGCAGTCACGGCTCCTCATACCGTCACCAAAGCTGCCCCTGCCGCTGCCCGGACTGCTGCTGACACCCTGGCCTCTGCTGCTGCTTCCACTGTTGCCGTCGCCGTCGCCGTCGCCGCTGTCGCCGCTGCTGTCATCATCACCGCCGCCACTGCCACCGCTGCCGCTGGTAACGTCAACCCCGCCATGATGAGTGCTAGCACTGCTCGAGAAGGAGATAATAGGCGAGGTTAGGCTGCCGTCACTGCTGGAATCCACGCTGTTAATGGTGCCGCCCATGCCACCAAGGTCCACGTTCGGCGGGTGTCTAGTTCTGCGGTCGGATATCTCGGCCTCTCGATCACGGTGCTGCTGATTCTGTTCTTGTGGCAAACGTTGGTGGCGGTTTTCGTGATGTTGGTGGTTTCTGTTTCTGTTCCATAGTAGGAGGTTTTGCTGCGTAGTGCGTCCGCCGTCGGCATATTCGGGCGCAGAGGTGGCTCTTACGGCGCCTTCACTGCTGCCTCCCCAAGCCTTCAGCCGTCTCTCCGACGTCGAGACCGGCGCGACTGGCGGCGACCGCAAGTCAGGAGGCGACGCCATGGCTCTCGACGACCCAACGTAAACGGATTGTTGCTGCTGCCACCGCCGCCGTTGCTGTTGCCGTTCCTCCTGCTCCTCCGCGGAGCTCGCTGGCCCTTGCGTCGAAGAACGGAAGTCGCTCACCGCCGCAATTTGCGTGGAGGTCATCGAACCAACGCCCAGAGAGAGGTTGGCGTTATGCCGGAAAGCGGCCTGGGGTAGAAGGGGAAGCGGAAGAAAATATCGGACCCGAAGTTTTGGTATGCGAAGTACAAAGGGAAGCGGCACCAAGGGGTGGCTTGGAGAGGTGAGCTCTTTCGAGTACCAAAAAACGCAAACCGGTTGGGTCACTTGAGATGGGTGAGGAGCAAACTGAAACCAGGATGCGAAAGGGGTAAGTCGACATCAATGTATCGCTAGGTCATCTCTCCACGGAGGCACTTGTACGATTGGCAAGCAACGGCACGAGCGAAGCACCAGCACACTCAAAGGCCGCAAAACGCTCGCCCTCGGAATCCTCTAGGCGGTGACCGAGTCCTCGGCAGTCGCCGAAATCAACAGCTAAAAATAAGTTCGTTCGCCACAACAACAACAACAGCAACTACGGACAACGGACGTGGCCTATCACTCACGAGCTCCTCGGCTTTGGCCCCAAGGCCCCTTTCCTGAATCCGCCTCTTCCACTCCGAAGCCCTCGCAGCGATCGCGCTCTTGCTGCTGCTGGAAGAAGCCCCCGATTCCGACCTGGGAGCTAACGAAGGGTACGAGGCCTTCCTTGTGCGTCCGCCGCTTCTTCTGTCGTGCACATCTCCGCGGAAGCCGGTGGCGGGGGCGGCAACGGTGTAGGCGGGGGCGGCAGAAGCCGTAGCAGCAGCAGCCGAAATTCGGGCGCCGTTATCCACGGGGAGGACAGTTTGAGCTCTTTCCACCATGAAGTGGTTGCGTTCGCTGTTGAAGCTGTGGTTCTCGACAGCGGGGCTTGGGTCGCTGTCTTGCAGGCGTAGACGGGGGGCTTCGGAGGATTTCTGTCTGCGTATAGTTGAGCCGGTCGTATCCGTGGACTCTAGTCGATGTGAAGAGGACGGCGCGGTGTCACTGTTTGTCCACCTCGAGTCATTGAGCCAATCGCGGCTGTTCCTGCGAAATATCGGTCGAATTTACAAATGGCTGTCACCTTGGTTGCAAGAACACCACTCGAGGGGGGTGAACGATTGTCTGTGCGGGTGTTATGGGGAGGAGAGGAGGTTCATACCGTGGAGTGAAAAAAAATGTGGCTGCTTCACCGCATGCTCGCGTGCTGGTCTTCACGCCCGGTGCTGCCAACTTTATCAACATTTTGAGGACACAATGCCAATGGCCACGGCCGGTCCTTCTACGTCGATGCCCGGCCGCACAAACAAGAGGAAGGAGTATCCACATACCGTAGGTGAACTACGAAAGTATACCTTCAGAAGAAGGTAGTACAACACGTCCGGGCGCGATTGTACACTCTCGGCCCCAACGTTAACATACACGGGTGAGATCACAGCCCTTAGGTGAGGTCCTGTGAGAGGAGTTTGTCACACTCCCTATACGTGGGCGTCCTGTGAGGGCACTTCATCGGAGTAACATGGGAGAACCACATCCTCGTACACCCGTTTGACCTTTCAACTCCCAAAATGTTTTCACATGGACGTGGGATTTTGTGCTACCTACAGCCTAGTCAATGCCCTTGCCACTCTGCAGCACCGCAACATTTCACCACTTCCGGCGTTCTATTTGTTTCCCTTTCCTTGCCCCGACGAACCTTTAGCTTACACAACTCGCCCCCTTCTACCATAGTTTATCGCCACCGACGTCTTTCCCCACACCCACAATCTGTTGTCTTTCGCCCAGCGGGCCTCCCCTGTCTACACCTCTCCAAACCTCGGCACATACCTGACACCGCTGCCAAGGGACGCGGAAGAGTTCGGAGAATCTTCTGCCATAATTGCGCCTCCCTCAACACGAGACGTCCTCCGACTCGGCGGAAGCCTGCCCCCGCGAAGGGGGATCCCGTTGCGCCAGCCCCATTCGCCGTGGCCGGACACCAACGGCGGAGGCCTCCACAACGAAGCCTCCGCTTGGTTCCCCCCCCACACCGCCTCCTTCGCTGCCACCGCAGCCGCCGCCCCCCCCGTAGTACCGTTGCTTCCGCCGCGGTCTTCCTGTCGCTCTGGAGCGGGTTCATCCCGGCGATCGGTTTCGTCTCCGCGGTCACCAGTTTCGCAGCCACCACCACCACCACTGCCAGGATTCCGCGAAGAGACGGAGGCTGTCGATGGTGCCGGTTCGGTGGCAGCAGCACCCGCACAGGCCCGCAGCATCGCGGAAGCGGGGCTGCTGTTGTCATCAGCCCTGGCGAAAGAACCAGCCTTGCTTGCGTCGTCCATAGCGCTGTCGTTCATCCGCGCGGAGCCCCACTCTGTTTCGCTGCCGTTTGTGTAGCTGTCGGGGCTCCCCTTTCGGCCCACCCCGCCCTGTGCTTCCTGCGAGGCGTTCGCGGGCACCCAGTCGAGGACCGTTTCGCCGCCACAGTGATTTCGCTGCCGCTGGTGCACGGCCAGGGGGTTCGGCGAAAATCGCTCTGAGAGCGGGCCGTCCTGGGAAGGTCCTGAACAAGAGGTCACGACTCCGCCGCCGGCATCGCCGCTACCCTTTCGCTGGTGAGACGGGTTGCAAACAAGTTGATTTTCGTTTCGTGTCCCAAGCAGGCACACATGAAAGCGGGGGGGCGGCTCCGAGGTCAGGCGGCTTAAAAAGTGTTGCAAAAAGTGGGCGCGATCTTCTTCCTCTGGATGTCAACATGCGCGAAAGGCATGGAATTGTAGCCAAAGAGCCCTTCGCGGCTGGCTGGCGTTATTGCAACCATCCAGCATTGGGGCCGCAGGGGGGAAATCTGATGTATTTTTTTAGTGAACCACGTTTCACGACACCACTCGCGGAACAGTCTGCGACCCCGAGCTCTACGACATCCACTCTGGAGCAGCTGTGGTGGGTTGTCAAGAGTTTTCAAGCGTACCGTACTCGGACAAATGGGTGTCGCATAGCAACATCATCCTATTCGACGGAGGCGGTGGGAGCTACAAGCCCCAACGTACAGGAGTCGGCGCGTGTTTTCTTGTCGCCGGAACAGGTCGGCGTCCAACAACATTATTTCCTCACGTTCTGCTGGTGGTGCTGCTGGCATTGCTGATGGAAGCTCAACGTGCTCGTGCTGTCGCCCGTCGATTCTCCGCTACCGCTGCGCGTACCGACTTCGCTGCCGCTTTGACTCTCCTTGCCCTCCTCCACCTGCCATCAAACATTCACAACACAGCAGCCGCGCTATATATTAAGACAAGAACAACAAAATAAAGCGAAAGGCCAACTGAACCATGGCAGGAGTACATGTGGAACGGGACACCAATTTTTACAAAATCAAAAAAACAACGGGCATCGCTGGGTTTACCGCATTCGTTTGAGAAGGCGAATATGTCGCCGTGAACGCGAAAGCATCGTTCTTGACCAAATTACGCGTGTTGGTCCTTCCCCCAAACGCACCCCCCCTATTGCAAGGCTATATATACACTTGGTTGCAAAAATTTCTCGGCCCCGTACGGTGTCGTACTGTGGGCGTGAGGTCGGCCTTGGCGCTTGCGGCGGCAGGTGGCCACCCCGCCGCATCCCCGGCTCGCGGCAGAACACCGCCTCCCGAGCTCCACGTGGTTCTCGGCGGTGGCTGGGAGGTGAGCAGATCCATGGGGGTAGCGGCTTGCTGGGGTATCGGGTACTGGTGCGGGCGGTAGTAGCTGCCTCCGCAGTCGCTGCTCCCGCTGCTGGCATCGCTGTGCCCACGACCGCGTTCGTTGCTGGCGACGCTGCGACCACCGTCGCGGTCGTTGTTTCCGGTTGCAGTAACGCCGTTTAGACCGGCGGTGGCGGCGGCCGGAGTGGGGATCATGCCTCCGTAGTCGTCGTGGGGTTCGGCACGGCTGTTGTTGTTCATGCCGTCGGTGCTGTCGACGCTCAAGGTAAACCTTCCGATCGGGTGGTTGGTGGTGATTTTGTTGCTGCGGCCATGTTTGTCGTTGCCGTTGCCTCTGTTTTTGCTGCTGCTGCCTCTGGTGTTGTTGCTGCTGGCGGTGCTGATGGCGCTATGGTCGGGGCGCTGCTGAGGCGAGAGAGAAAGGAGCATGAACGACAGAGACCCAAGGGAGGAAACCGTGAGGGATCATGATTGAAGGGGCGGCGAAGATAAAGGGCGCACGCAAAGGCGGGGACTTGTGTCGGTGTTTGTGCTTTGCCACAAAACAGAACATCCAACAATAGGCCGCCGAGACGTATGCTTGCTACATAGGTGCTAAACAACAACAACAACAACAGCCACATCAACGGCTCACCGACAGTTGCAAGGAAGGAATGGCGTACTCGCGTGCGGTGGAGGGGACCACCGTTGTCCGTTTGTGCGGGGCGGGACGGAAGGCTGGCAAGGAGCGGGTGGTCAACACCTCTGCCACCACAGCGTGCCGGAGCAGTTCACTAGCGGTCGGACGCAGAGAGGGATCTGAAAAAGAAACAACAAGGGCACAGCAGTTTTTCCCACCCTTGGTTTTGTGGTCTCTTGCTGAAAAGCGACGTATTCTCATTGTGCAACAGGTTCACACGACGAAGCCCAAGCAGTGCAAGCATCACAAAAAACATAACGGCAAGACATGCACCGGGTGTGTGAGAAGCGGGCGAGGGGGGGGGGAGGAGAGCGGAAGCGTTCCGTTTGATCAACCCCGGCTCTAGCAGAGTGGACAAAAGAGAGAGCGACCCAGAGAGACAGAGAGATAGCCTGAGAATGAACCAAACTAGCGTGCAGAGTGAATAAAAATGGGGGGGTCATGTTGGGCAGCATCGGGTTGAGTGTGGACTACTTTGAGTGATACAACAAGGGCACACAAGAAAAGCAAGATTTTCCATACCCACTGTACATTCCTCCATATTCGCTCGGGGAAGTTGAACCACCGAAACGATGGAAATATCCTCCGAAGAAGCCGCAACAATCCCAAGTGTAGTACCCGGGTTAAGCTGTTCGTCCCAAACAATTACCTCTGGAGAAGCACTGTCGTAAGAGGTCTTGCACCAGTGGGCTGACGCTCTTCGGGATTTCAGGCAGGTCTCTGCCGGGCAATCAGCAATCGAGGAACAAGGTCAGTGGGTGATGTCTAAAGGTACGGTGTTGGCGTATTCTAGATGGGAGAAAGAGAGAGAGGCAGCGAGAGAGAGAGAGACAGCGAGGGAGAGAGACACAGACGCACACCACCGGACCCTAAAATCTGCCACTCACGCATATAGACAGACCCCCCAGCATTGGTCAGAACGTTAACGACTAGGTTCTCGATCAGCTGATACATCGCTGCCGCCTTTTGAAGCGTTTGGACAGCTTCGCGGCATGAAACGTCTGCCGTCCATCGCATGTGCTTCGATCAACCTTACAACAAGGTAAGCGTCCTCCTGCGCCTTTAATTTCTAACCCAAAGCGTCCAGTCTAGAACTAGCGTGAAGATAAACACGTCCGCAACCATAGCAGCAGCAACAACAACAACGGCAACATACCGGGTGCAGCTGATCTTGAACATGGCAGCGAGGGGGCCGATATTGTCCCACGGCGGGCTCCCGGTGAGCATTTCTAGGACGGTGGCCCCAAGGGACCAAACGTCGGCCTTGATCCATCCGTCTTTTAAGTCCTGCACCTACATATGCGGAACCAAAGAGAGGGAAACACAACAAAATGTGGCGACGTGAGATGTATGCCCTCGCGCGAAAAACAATGTTTATTGGAGACAGACAAATACAAATCTTCGTTCCAAACAGTAAGTTACGGAGAGAGAACCCTGCTCATATAGGAGATTACTTTTCGAAAACGACGGAGCCAAATCTCGAGGGATTTTGGGGAAAGAATCACAATCGATCTAGTCTACAGCGATGTACACCCCGGTGGTCTGGCATCATCCCGACCATAGTATTCAAACCAACCAATAAAGCTCGGGGCAAAACATGGGGCACGAAAAGAGGGAGGGGGGCTGTTGAAGAACAACAATGTTTCTGCGCCGCGGAGGTAATTTCACTGACGGTGGTTGTTAGGTTTCCGTTGAAAACCACCACAAAACCGGTACCCAGGCCCCTCGTTTGTGGGCGTCGAAGAACGCAAAGTATGGCCACAAGCAATTCCCCAAAACGGGGTGGCAACAGCAACGGAACCGCTTGCGGGGTTCTTACATTCTTGCCAACTGATCTCGATCTTGACTGGTTTCGAAAAGACCCAAGGAAGCACCCAGCAAACACACACCACGAGAGGCGTGAGACCAGTCGAAGAGTCTTGCGCAACACGAAATCCTCGATTTGGCACACAGAGAAGCGGTCGGGGCTGTTTTCCAACCGAGCATCACGTGTCGTACCTCCACACGCCGTCTCCCAAACCAAGAAAAAATTTCCACCAGTCTAAACTCAAGACAACCCGGACGACACGGCGGGTACTCTAACAAGTTCTCCGCATTGCGGAGTCCCGATATTCCAGTGGAGGCCTTTTGATTTGACCCTGATTACCATGTAGCTGGCCAAGAACCCCCTGAAAAACGAGGTGGGGTTACCTCAGTACCGGTTGGAGTACAGAAAGCGCCCGCACTTACGGGCTTGGCAGAAAAACAATTGAGCCTAAAACAAATCAAAATCTGAGACCTTGAGCACCATACAATGTATGTGAGCTCGGTTAAGAACCCCTACACTACACAACCTACATGGCGGAAATTTGAAAAATAACCTTATGCACTAAGAACCACGGGCTCGGCCAAAACTAGAGGGTCTCAAGCGCGGGCGCTTTCTGTAGTGCAGAAACGAAGGAAAGTTGGGGCTAAGTCTGGCCAGGTGAAAGCGGCGAAGACAGCGCCAGCAACCACACCATTAGCATCAGTAGCATCACCAATAACGGAAGGGGAGGGCACCGACAACGACACGACAAACAACCAAGGAAGGGAAAAGGCACCTGCAGCACTTCTGGGGCCATCCAGAACGGCGTTCCCTTGACGCTCTGCACCCCTGAGGTGCCGCTGGTGCCCGACAACCCCTGCAGTAGCGCGACAACAACATACAGACTGGGCTTTGTTTATAGAAAAGCGGCAAGAGGAGTGCTTGAAAGGTTTCAATCAACACAGCCAAACAGGCCCGACGGGTATCCCTGAGAAGGAAGCGTGTGAAAAGATGCGCTGCTGCTAGAGGAACACGTGCCGAAGAAAAAAAAATCGCAAAAATTCGTATACAGGCGTCAGTTTCGGACCTCCATCATGATGTTCGGCAGTGTTCGCACAATACATAGAGTATGCGGTTGTGGATGAGGTCAGCTTCTCAAACGCATCGTCGGTGCTCTCTCTCATCTACTGCGTTTGTTGAAAAGAAAACAAGGCATGGGCACGAAACAAAGGTCCATTCTGCTGTTTGAGCGGAAACTCAAGCGCCCGTAGCCCAAGAGGTCTATCTTGCGTGCTTCAGAGTAGGTGTAGAGACTATGAACCGCTTGCTATTCTCGTCCGCTCACCACGATGCGCTTGGACATGCCGAAGTCGGCAAGCTTGATGGCACCCCGCTGGTTCACGAGGCAGTTGGCGCACTGCGTCGAAGCAGCGGCGCAGATTGCTCTTGGTATTGGGGGGGGCAAGGGAGACAGGCGCAAGGGCTAATTGCACGATCGCCTTTTTGGCACGATACAACTTGTTTACCTACGGTTTGCGCGCCTACAGCCACAATGACGAGAGTTAAGCACGATGAGAGCGGCGAAACTGAAGGTTTGCGCCGCAGATAGCGTGACCTGCCAGCGATAGTGACGTGAATCAGGGGACGGTGCTGAATCTACGGCACGCGCGCGCGAAAGAGAGAGAGAAAAAAAAGGCAGAGAGACAGAGAGAGCGGTCTTACCCAAACGGTGTATCAGCGGCAAAACATGGCGGGCGGGGATGGTGAAAAAAACTTCAACTAACCAACAAAGCCACTTTCATACTTTGCAATTCGCTGGAACACGCGTGGGTATCTGCATTCTTGCAACCGCGCCTCACTTTTATATCACGGTGGGCCACTCCGTTCTTGTGCAGGAAGCTCAGCCCTTGCATTAGCTGCTCGGTGTACAAGACGGAAATATGTTCCTCGAAGCCCCCGAATCGATCCAGAAGGCCACGCACGGAGCCCCCCGGCATGTACTCCAAAAATATGAACATTGTGTTGCCCTTGATGCTACTCCCGTACGACTTGACGATGTTTTCGTGTCTGTTTGGTTTGTGGCAGGGGCAGAGGGACGCCGGAGGCAGGAACGTCACAAGGGGCAGATTGATTCTCGAGTGCACGAGCACGCAGCAGTGATGCATGGCACGTTGTCAGCGGCCTTATTACCCTGGTAGAGAGTGACAGAGTCATCGATGGTACATGCACAACGCTTATCAATGGTCGTGTGAGTACCATTTATGACATTTGCCTTTCGAAGAAGAGCAAGTGCTGAACTGAGTCCATAACGATTGCATTGACAGTCAAGACTCCAACAGCAGCAACAACAACAACAACAGAGGCGTAGTGAGGGTGGTGTACTCGTGTAAACGCATGCCGAAGTCGTTAGACCATCGACCTCGCACCCCTAAAAAGCCGGAACGGAGCGACATGCCGGGTTTTCGCCGATCCAGGCTACGCTTCACGAGGGTGAACCAGAAGCTGGCGCGTGGGGGGCGGGGGCGGGAGTTGCGTGTCCGTGCATGAATTCCGGCGCCACCCCGCACCCAATGGTCCACCGTCCTAGAGCACAGCGATCGCGCCGTCGAGAGCTTCGGCGTTCCCGGCGTGATCCTAACCTCCAAAGCTCACCGGTTGTCCCGAAGCATGGCGGTCTCGTTCTCGAAGGCCTTTGCGTCTCTAGAGGTCATGTCCCCCCGGTCCAACGAAATGCTCTTGACAGCCATCAGCTCGCCCGTGTCGAGATTCAGGCCCAGGTGCACGGTGCCGAACGCCCCAGCGCCGATGATGTCACCTCTGAGCCACCTAAGGGAATAGATGGGGTTCCGGAAGGTTGTCACAATCCGTGAGGGGTGAGGGATGGAATACGGCCAGGGCGCCTCCAACGGGCCATCGCGTATCCACGCACCCGGCGAAGTCTACGGCCGAAAAACACAACGGCATGCACGCTGTTGAGCAACCCTCCCACCGGATACGCTACATCCGACTTGCACCTCCTTCCGTCTCCTACTGTGAGGTGCGTCGTCTAAAGGCCAGGGCGAGGCAAAATGACAGACGAGCAAAAAATCACGCCTCCCGCGACCCTGGAACTCCTCACCTCACAGGGTCCACGTCCTCGCCCCGTCTCCACGGGTTCGGTCCCTCGTGCCCAAGCCCACGGGTCACTTCCGGCACCTTGGGGCCGACCCTGAACGCACCCCTCCACCCGTCTCCGCCGCCGGCCCCCCTGTGAGGAGGAGGAGAAGTGACGAAGTCGCCGCCGCCGCCGCCGCCGCCGCCGGCACGGGGGGAGGAGGAGTTGCACGAGGACGTAGTCGCCAGCCTTTCGAGCACGTTCGACCCGTCTTCTGCTGTTCCAGCGGGCGATGAGCTCTACCATTATTGTGGAAACCCACGGGGTATACATAGGAGGGGCGGGTGTACTCGTTTTTTTCATGCCATTGACCACGCGCCTTCAAGACGACGGGACGATGATCATTTTTATTGATGACTTAGTTGTTAGACCATTGACCACGCGTCCTCGAGAGGACGGAGCATTGTTCCCACAGGACCGATTACCGATGACCAAACGCTCCCACATGGAGATGCGGGACGATGCAACAACGACGCCTACGGGAGTTTCTAGCTTGACTCGGAAGTCACCATCGCATCACTTCACGAACGCTGTCAGCAGGGGAAGAGGGCCGGAGGGCCACTGCGAGGGTTTTGTGGGGGGGCGCGAGGAGAGCGAGCTCGTGTCGTCATCGGCGGGCTATAGCAACGACAACACAAGACCTCACCGCGCTCGATTCACGAGCTTCACTGGCGGAGGAAGACCTTCTCCTCCTCCTTAGTGCCTGCCGACGCTGCTCCTGGTCCAAGTACTGACGGGCAACGCTCATCACGGCAGCAGCGTCGACGGGCGGCCCGGCGCTGTCGCCGCCCCAACCCGAAGCGTACTGCGGCTCCTTCATCTTCTTCTCGCCGCACCGGTGCTCCGGGCGATCCTTCTGCTCGTGCTGGTGATCCCGGTACCCCTGCAGCTGCTGCTGGAGCGGCACCCGGTGCTCGACCAGAACCGGTCGCTCGGCACCGAGAGACTGCTGCTGGAAAATATCATCCGGATGAACCGACGCGGGGCTAGCTCCACGTCCCCGGGCCGGGGGGATTCGTGGGTCCGGTGCGTTCGTTGGCTGTGGTGGCGGCGGCGGCGATGGTGGCGGCACTCGCTGCTGATCTGTCATTACGGACACCTTGATCAAAAACGGACCGTCATCGCTCGCCAGCAGCTCCGCCAGGTCGTTCTCGCTGTTGAGCATAACCTTGGTCGCAACGTCGGCCGGGGATCCACCGTAATAATTACGGTTACGAACACGGTAACAATTACGGTTACATGCACAGCGACGACAGCCCAGAACCTTCAATATTGCGGGTACACATATACAGCGACTGAGCCGAGAATTTCAGGTCAGTCTTTTCAAGGCCGGTCTTCTTGAGCCTACCTCGGGGGGGGGGTTCGGGCACGCGAACAGGGACAGGGTAGGAAACGGGATGCTCTTCTTGATCAAAACCATCACCGTTGGGGTCGCCGTGTAAGACTACTGTACGGCTCAATGATGCTCTTCGTGGCCAGGAGCATCGCCCTATATACTTTGGGGTCGCCGCGTGAGACTATCGGTTGGAACTTGGCCCAGAGCGGCGGTCTGGGGGTAAACGTATTTCTCAGAGGCCGAGTCGCTCATAGCACCCATCGTTAGTGGCGCTGGGGGTAAGGTCAGGGCTGGAAGGGGCGCTACGGCATAGACGTGTCGCCCGCGTAAGACATCAGGACGGTTCATTTCGGATTAGGTGGGGAGCATCTTCGAGTGCCTATCCCTACCTGGTGCAACAGAGACGCCTTGCGGCATCTGGGATAAAACCGTTGCTGCGATGGTTGTTAGTCGCCGGTTTTTCGACTTCCGTACTGTACGTTGCCACGTGCTACTTCTCCAAGAACTTGGCCAACATCTTTTACGATTTTCACGAGCTCTTTAGCCAACGTTCGTTCCCGATGCTCGACGCAATACTGGTAGCCCACAGCCAAGATCACCGAGGATAAGGTGTAAACTGCGCGGTTCTGAAAAGGTCGCGCTACAGCTTCTTCTCCACAACACTTTTTCGTGTGTCTGCAAGTACTTTTCAAGTGATCCCCCCGGAGTGGGCTCATCACGAGAGCGCAACGTCATCAAAAGGGGTGATGCAAGGATACGATACACACTGGAAGGACCACAGCCCACAGCTGGCCGCCAGCTGCAAGTTGCTACGTTTCCCAAGTTCGGCAGCTCACACAGCCAACGTGATTGTGACTGGAAGGGTCCAGCGAACGTCGACGACCAAAAAGAACGATGTACAGATCTGTATACAGCCTTAGCTAACCGCTTTTGGTTTATGCCGGTTGAGGGGTTATGGGGGTTGTCGTGTTCAAGGTTGATCTGCCAAAACAAAAACAACAGCAGCCTAGACGAGAGAAAGGGCTGACCAACTGGTTCGAATTCAAAATGTCCGTGTGGAAGCAAGTACAAGCGTGCGCTTTCTTTGTTGGGCGCACTGCCGTTTTTTCTCCTCCCCCTTCTTTTTCCTGTTCATCTTTTCTTTTCTTTTCTCACCTCGTCTCCATCTTCATCTTTGTACTCCAGGAAGACCTCGAACTTGAAGTCCTCGCACAACCGCTGCGTCGCGTGTGCAATAGAAAACAATCGCGAAAGGCGCGGCCAGAGACGAAAGTGTAAACAAGCAAGTGTCCCCTTTTGTCTGAGAGATTGTAAACGCTTTATCTGTAAGGAAATGCGTAAATCTTCACTTAGAAAAATATACATACAATCGCAGAGAGATTACCCGATTGAGATATTACCACAGTCGAAGGGGATTGTTGAAGTCGTTCCAGTGAGTGCGAGAAACCGCCAGCTGGATACTGGACTCTTTCAATGTTTTGCTGCTGTTGGGAACGTGCAAACTTTGTTGTCACTGCCCGCGCCGGCGAGGTTTTGACCTGAATTCCTAAGCTGTGTGGGCGATGTCTTTCGAGCGCGGGAAGCGGGGCCGGGGTGGGCGTAGTGACAGGCGCGATGCCACCTTCAGGGGCGTGTGTCAAAGCCCCGCGAAGTTGTAGGTCCTACGGCCATCCGCACGGAGGTTGGTCGCACTTTCGATACCAAGGCGCCGCCGCATCTTCAAAAAATATCAGATATGTCCGTAGGTGTAGCGGAGTTAACTGAGATCTCCCGGCGTCTGTTTTGCTACCCCCCGCTAATCACCGTGCTTAACTTCCGTAGCAAAGAAGTGAACAATCTCTCTACATACGAAATGACGACGTTTGAGAGCAGCTCGCACTCACCTTGATGCTTCCTTTTTTATCGCTTGAGAGAAGGGCCTACTCTCCATGAAAGCTCATTGTCTGCTGTCAGGCATTTCCTACCGTCATCAGGGTTGTTCCTCCTTTCTACGATTTGGGCATATTCCCCACGCAAGCTCGTACGGCAATCAAGAACCTTGACACAAGCCAACATGACAAACCTCGCCCAGCGGCATAGCTTTTTTAGTTCTTGATTTGTCGCACGCACTCCACATCACCACGAAACCGTCTTCAAAAATCGTCAATACGCCACCGCTATCGCCATCTCTATCGCTCTCATTATCGCTATCGCTATCGCTATCGCTATCGCTATCGCTATTCCTATCGCTATCTTTCCAAGCACTTGTCTGTGGTCGAACAAGCCTGCCGCGCAGTGCGCGGGTGAAAGACTGCCGCGCAAAGCGTGAGTGCAAGTCTCGCCAAACCTGTCTGAGCTTGGCGAAGGTGTACTTCTCGTGCACCACGACTACCCTCTTGCTGCCGTTGTACTCCAGCTTAAGCTTAACCTATTGTGCAAGGAAAATATAAAATGGAATGGGGGAGACAGAGCAAGAGTCGCAAAAACGGAGGGGGAAAAGGAGAGCGTGCGTGTATCCTTCGGAATGATAGCAAGGTCGGTATCCTTCGGAATGATAGCAAGGTCGGCAGCGCACATCATCTTGCTCGGGTGGGCGAAAGCTGCCCGACATACCGCAATTGGTGCTCCGAACGCCCAGCAATTTTCGACACTAGATGGTATCTTAACCACACGACCAACACGAGCATCGAAAGACTTTGCGGGGGGACATACAAAATCGGGTGATACCCGGGGGGGGAGGGTACTCATAGTCGTGCATGCCGTAGTCGTTAGACCATTGACCTCGCATTCCTGGGACGGAGCACGCCGGGTTCTCACCGGACCAGGCTCTCACATCACCAGCGCGAAGCATCGTGAGGTATTCGGCGAGTCGCATGAAGGGCGCGATACATCCTGCTAAGGGTGTTCGGCATCTTGTGCTTACTTCCTTGCGTGGTATGACAGCTGCGTATGACTTCATTTATTTCTGGTGCTCTCACTTCCAGACTAAGTAGTGAGCACTATGTAACTGCCTCGAGGGCGCTTGACCAATTTAACACAACGCGCTGCGATCATCCCCTTGCGCGGAGTGAGGGTTCTCGACCCCGCACAACATAATCTACTCGACCACCACTACGGTTACCGCAAAAAGTATACCCCAGCGGATGGGAAAAATGATATGGTCGATACAGAAATAAATAATCGATATGCTGTTGTTAGTGTTGATATGCACCGCGGGTAAGCTCCATAGTCTGCCACGGTGGTGATCTGTGTCGCTGTCTGCCTTACGCGTGTGGTGTGCAGGGGGCACATCTTGGAAGAGGGGGGGCGTGACAAAGGGGGGGTGGGGGGGTATTTGATCGAAGAGAGACTACTGGTGTACTCGTTGGAGATAGACTATTGATAACGACCGCAGTCGAAGGGCATGGGTTGAAGTCTCTACAGTAGTGAATGTGGATGGGGAAAAGAGCTCTTGAAGGCAGCCTTGCATCGAGTGCCCTTGGACATGCACATCTTAGACGGGTGAATGAGCGTCTTCTCTGGTGGAAATCAACACTTAATTAACGCACCTTGAAATCTTACTTCAGAATCTTCCACGGAAAGACGCCTACAGTAGTATTATACTTGTGGCCAACAGCAGCTGCAGTGTGCCGCTCAGCCGCACGCACACAGCAGCGCGTAGCAAGGGGCTGCTCATAACTGACACCACGGTATTTTTTAGCCCCATCTTCCAGCAGCTAAAAATGTGCGGGTGTTTTATGCATATGAAACACTGATGCCGAAGGAGGTCGGCAGTACATTTCTTTCCTGACGAGGAATTTACGACATGGGAATAGACGTATGCATTGGGGGATAGGAGAAACACGGGGCGGAGAAACCCTCCTCTGTGACCCCGGCGGGTGCGTCCAGAATTTCACCGAGAAAGAAAGCTGCAAGGACCGACGTTGAAAATGTCTGTTTGTTTCTCTCATCACGTTTCATCAGCGCCAAACAGCTTTTCTGCCGATCACTACTGTTGGGGCTTCATGATTTCACAGAAGGGTGCCTTCCCCCTTCCCCTGAGGCCCCCTACCCACCCCTCCTCCGGTGCTTGCCTTCGGTTTTTAACGCGATGACAAGAAGAAAGAAGAGATGTCGGGTGCAACGCCTGACGCCGGGTGGACGCCTCAACACCGCCCAGGCGGCCCCACGAGCGAGTTCCTTGGGCGGCACACCAAAACCTTTGTTCTTCTCGCTTATATTCCAGAACAGGGATAACTGCGCTACAACTGTACTCTAGGGCCCGCACTTGAGAACCTCTTATTATGGACGAGGCTCGTTTCTTGGTTTGTCTACGGGGTACTGTATCCCTACGACGACGATATAGGTTATAGGGGAGCTTCACTGAGCACCTGTTCTTCTGGTCGCGTTATTTTTGTTGGGAAGCTGTAAGGCTCAAGTTCTTAGCTACCCCGTTCGTGCGGGCCGGTTCTAATGTCTAGGGCGTGGGAAAGTGGTGCTTCTTGGAGCATCCCACTTTTACAACCAAACCGCGGGGTATTACGCCGTCATCATCAGTAGTACCCTATTTTGTTCAAGGCATACCCCTTTTCGTTCGGTGTTTCAAGGCATCCCCCTTTTTGTTCGGTATTTCCTGCTGCAACTGACAAAATGGGGGGTATATCCCCGGGGATTTACGAACAAAATGGGAGTTTAGAAACAGAATGCGGCATGCAATTTTTCGGTTGCCGTGCTGAACAAAACGGGGTATGACTCGGGATGGGGTACCAGGAATGCGTTGAACAATATGAGTACCACATATTTGTGTTTGCAGACAGGGGGTTAGATTCCCGCGGTTTCATACAACATGGGGTGCCCCAACAAGTTCCCCGTTTCCAGGCACTATTCAACATAGATATCCATAACCCACAGCTCTGCCGGTTGAGATATGGTTGAAAATTGGTTGCGAGTCAGCGCACAGGCGTGCGAACGAGTTTCAACAGCGAAATTTGTCCACAACCAGGAGGTTGCCACTGTCGAACAGGGCGGTTTTGGAAACATTTCATCGAGAGTTTTCCTGAGAAGTATCAGTTGGCGCTCGCACCCTCCTGGATGTGGAGAAATTACGCTTTGAAAATCGATCGCACCCCTGTGCGCTGACTCGCAAACTTACGGTAGTCTATGCACTTCAGTCTGTACACTTGTACAGCAGAACTGCACTGCTGGACATGTACGTGTAGTCAATATTCTACTTGTTCACAAGAACGTTTCGGGAGCGGCGACACCTCGTTTCCATAGGGAACCGATCCTATGCACATAATCGCTGCACCTGTACTACGTGTCGCGTACCATCCCGGGTGCGATGCTTTACGGAGTACAGTCGTCGACCGTTCGCTCAAAAGCAGCGGCAGCGTTTGCGGCAACTCGTCTGTTGGACCGCGTCCGCTGGCGGTGTGCACGCAAGTGCGTCGCTCTGACTTCGAGCAGCCCAACAGTGCCTCCGCGCCGCCTAAAAACCGACAACTAACAGCTGTTCTCGCTGGTGGCGTCAGCCCTACGGCTGTAGGTGCGACGTGCGACGTTTGCAGACAAGTGCGTTGCTCTGAGGTCTACAGGGGCCGAGCAGCCTGCTGACGTCTTGAGGCCATTCGTCGGGCTAAGATCCTGAACAGGCCAGAAGATCACAAGAGAGCCAGATGGCCGCGTGAATACTGGTGTGTAGTTGGTAAAATGCTTGACACCAAGCCTAGGAGCGTTGACAAAAGCAGTGGGGGATTACAGAGTCGTCGTGCACTAACCCTAACCCTAACCCTAACCCTAGAGACTTACATTACACGGGTGGTGTGGGTTTCTGGAGACCAACCGGGCGGCATGAGTTTCCTCTGATCGTGTTGTTTCAGCAGGACTTCAACATGCTCACGGCGCCTCCGTTCTTGCCCAGAGGCCTGGGGATCGGTGAGCCTGACATGCATAATAGTGAGATATGCCAGGCTGCCCAGGCCCAGGGATCAACGTGCCGATGGTTGCACAACCTCCAGCTGCCTCCAACGTACAGCAGTAGTGTGTAGACTTCAAAGAGACACAAACACGCACGTCATTGTCTCACAACAACCACTACGGACCTTCCTTGTTGTGGGAGTCATCTTGCAAGGAGAAGATGACGACACCAAGCCCTTTTCCGTAGCAGCCCTTCCTTTCCTTGAGCTAGTCCTGCGGTGTGTAGCACCGCCACCCTCTGCGTTTGGTTGATACCCTGTTCCAGTAGGTCACACCACATGGTGACTGAACATCGTACGCGTACTACATCTCAGCCGTCGTACTTCCCCGCGGCTCCGCGAAATCAACATACTCGAAATACTGTTGGTACCCACATTCGCCAATTCCGCCGACTTTGTCTTGTCTTGTGTGCCCCGCTTGATCTGGAGATCTGGAACAACCAACAACCACCTCGTGCACATTGCACAAGCACACCACCCAAGCCCACAACAGGACGGACGAGAGAGCAATAAGCAAGATATAACACCATGTCTTCCGCCGAAGCAACCGGTGGTGAGTCAATCGCATGGGAGCAAAACAGCACCGCAGAAAGATTCCCCTCCCCTTGTTTGCAACATCAAAGCGAGTGCACCCACCATGTTTGCACGACGGTATATTACTGCGGGTATGCCACTCTCTAGTGCGGCTAGGCTCTAGCTTTCTGGTCGTCGCTGTCGTCCTTACCTGCTTCCCTCGTTAGGGCTTGGGGTTCTAGTCTCTGCTGAGAGTCGCATTCTAAGCTGCGAGAGCGCAGGGTGGGCTTGTTGTCTTGTCTGCTAATACGGTAACTACCAATGCCGATGCGGGACGAAAACAGCCAATGCTCGGACAAATAGGCGCCCCTTTTGTACCGAGTAGCATCAGCAGTTTACCTCCGTTTGCTTTCGTGTGGCGCCTCTGCTGCTGCCGAAGCGGCCACCCGCAGCAGTAGAATAAGAGCTTCAGGGTTCTTCTCTGCTCTCACGTATGGAACGGACCGTGAGGGCATACGCGTGAAGATTGGGTGTCCCGAGATGTTGTAGCAATTGCGCCGCTTTTTCTGGGAGCATCAAGTGGGCAAGCTGCAGCTTTACTATTTTCTCGCAACATTTCTCGGGGCTGTGCTTTTCTCATGGTACACACGTTGTGGTACGCTATGGGAACAAAACTGTGCGCTGAAAAGGTTGGGAACTCTTGTTTTTTGACAACAATCGCGCGATCTGGATCAAAAGTTCACGAACTTTTCTCGCGACAAAGTGTCGAAAATATGTTGTAGTTTCGGCGAGAGTGTAAAGGCTTCAAACAGACTCGGAATAGGCCCGGTACAGCAGTAACCAGCTTGTTTCCCTCCACTTAATGCAAAGACTTCAACACACCCCGTTCGGCTGCTGTGGTTAAATCTCGAACGTGTGTCTGTGTTGGTTGTATAGTATTTATTTTTCATGATGGTTTCGCGGCGAGACGTCCGCCAATCCACGTCGTCAAGCACCTACCCGTACGACACACGTAGACCCCATCTCCAGCTTCGACAGGAAGGCACCGTCCGTGTTCACCGATATCTGGACGAAACCTAAGCGAGTGACCTCGTGAATGGCATCTGGAAGGAGGTGATGCCTTGAGCTGTTGGGCAATGCCAAGTTTGGCGCCATGAGGTGCCGAATGCGCCGGGACAAAAGTTTGTTGACGCAAGAATGTCAACGGCCACCAGCGGTGCCAGATGAGAAACGTAATCGCGCTTTCCTATCGAAGGGTTGTACCGACACAGTAGTGCGTGTTTGTTTGTTGTTGGCATCGGCTGACCAATGAAAACACGCGAGTCTCAGTGCGGCTGAACACAGAAAGCGCTTCTAAAAGGCGAGATGGAGAGTTGATGTACTGTGGTGCGCCCGCTGCGTGGGTTTGTTTTTAAGTGAGGGGGGGCATCAGACACACACACGAGACGGACGTATTTTCCTTGGTCAGCCGGTTAGCGCTGTCGATGCTAACAATAGAAATACACACGCCCCCCTCAACGGGGTCAGTCCCAGATCATGGGCGGCGTCAGGCTGAAGCCAGCCTTGGCTTCGTCCCTTGATTCATATCCCTGCCTCACCCGAAACACATGCTGAGTTCATTCGCATGCATGTCCGCATCTCCCTTGTAGTAGCTGCTAGATCAACTCGTTTAGAGCGGCTCGCTGAAGGATGCCATGGCAGCGTTATTTTTATGAAGTTGAAAGTTTTTGTTTAACTCATGCCTCTTCCATTCCGGCAGGTTGTGGAGCGGACGCCGAAGACATGCGGTGGTCTGAATAGCTGTCTCGTTCCCCACACGCACATTCAGAGTCGTAGCGTCTCCCTCCATTATTTTCGTCGTTGGCTGTGTTCACCATGTAACAGACCGTGCCGGCCCTACTGCACCTCTCTCATGAACCAACCTCGGCCGAGCTGCAGGCAGACAATCCCGGCAACCTTCTGTGGAAAGAAGCATAACGCCTCAAGGTCGTTGTTCACCTACATGCTTCGGACTCCCGGGTGGTGCGATCTGCATATGCAGGTTCCGAATGGCAACTGACGGCGTTAATATGTAATTCGTGACCGCTTATTATTATTATTTAGTTCTTGGATGCCCATTTCGCCGGATTTTCCTTGCCCGTCAGAAACGCCCCTCGGGGGGCCCGGGGGACACTACGACTACCTCGTCATCGGCGGGGGCAGCGGAGGCGTTTCCAGCGCCCGCCGGGCCGCGTCCCACGGGGCCAAGGTCGCCTTGATCGAAGGCACCCCGAACCTGGTGCGTGGCAGTCGCGTGATCGATGATCACGGATCACAGCAGCAGCAGCAGCAGCAGCAGGGAGCAGCAGTCGGTTCGGTCGGTCGATACCTTTCTTTGTTCAGTGGTTTAAATAGGAGCGGGGTGTTGTTGTTGTTGTTGTTGTTGTTGGTGGTGGTGGTGGTGGTGGTACTGGTGGGGGGGGATTGGCGACAGACTTTGGTGATAGGGGCGGGGGTGGGGCGTGGTGGTGCTGACTCGTGTCGTCGCTGTCGATGTCATTGTTGGGTGGTGGCGTTGGCGGCGTGTGCGAGCGGTAGTGACGGTCATGCTGGAAAGCTTAGACTAGTCGTTGATGCCTCCTGCGAGGAGCCAACCAATCCAAATGTGCAAGTGTGCAGCTTTGTGACAGGAGGCAATAAGATACATCCCTATTTCACGACGCCTTTTTGTCGGCGGTGCTTGACCACCGATCTCTTGCCCCGTCCCCGACCGTCTTTGTTGTCTGCGTTGTCCAACATGCCAGGGAGGGACTTGCGTTAACGTGGGCTGCGTGCCGAAGAAGGTCATGTTCAACGCCGCCCACATTAACGAGGTGGGTGCCGTGTTGCAGGAAAGGAGGCACGACGTTTCTGACGCGTACATACTGCGACAGCTGTGATACGGGCATGACGGTGCACACGCTGCTGCTCCCGTCTACCGTATACCACGACACAAGATAACAGACACACCCTGGACCGATTTTCAAAGATAGATTACTCCACGACGAAGAGGACATACACGAAACGATAAGTTTTCGGAGAGCTCTCGACCAGCCGCCTTCAACGCCGCCGTTTTCGCCGCCGCCATTCTTTGTCTGCTGATTTAATCGAGCTTTGAAAATCGGTCCAGGGGGTGTGTTATCTTGTGTCGTGGTATACGGTAAGCTCGTGCATTGCCGCACCCGGGGAACGTGGCCTGAACCATGCGAGAGTCGTACTTAGTGCGGGGACTCTTGTGGTGGAACCCATGCACAAAGCAGCGAGGGTGTTCATGAAAGGTTAATCGGGGTTTGACGCAGTACATTACACTTCAGTGTGGCACTGCCTTCCTCTTGTGTGACTCTGGCTGGTGCTTACAGAAATTGTAACGAGAAAGGTGTACAGACCGACGTCAAGAGTAAGTGGGACAAAAAAAAAAGTGCTTGTCGATATTTAGAAACAACCGTTTCTATCGCATTTCCATTGCTATTGGGACTTCCGCAGACCCGAGCAGTGTACGCACCCGTGAGCTTCTAGCCGTTAGGAATACGCCCTATCCAACCAAATGTTGCGCACGTCCAAAACTGGAATGGGATGGTGGGATGATGTTTTGCTGAGGCTCGTTAGGTTGAGGCATGTATTCTCCACCACAGTGAATCCGTCCAGGCTCCCGCTACCCGGCACCCGCTCTTGACGACTTGACCTGCAACTGATTCTTTGTTCACAGCTCATCAACTGACGTGTCCTGCTGTCCAGCAGCAAAGCTCGACGCCCCGCATGTGGAAGCAACAGGCCACGGCGGTGAGGACTGCCGTCTCCTAAAACCCCCCGGCACGCGCCCTGTATTCCAGTCCATCTCATCCCCTCCACATCGCTCCCCAATCGTTCGCGTCGCCTCCTCCCCTCGGCGCCCTTTCACCGGGGAACGGATGCGCGTGCGTGTGATTGACGCGCGACGACAACACGGCGCAACAGATGCTGCACGCTTCCAAGCACTACGGATACACGGTGGGCGAGACGTCGTTCGATTGGGGAAAGCTCAAGGAGATGCGGGACGCGTACGTCAGGCGGCTGAACGGCATCTACCACCGCAACGTGGAGAAATCGGGCGTCACGCTTGTCTACGGGGTAAGGTTAAGAGTTCACCTATCCGGGGCATTTTTTTTTTATGGTTTCTTGGGCAGAAGGGCAGGGGCCAGGTTCATTCACCTTGTCGTCGTTCCTTCAAAATGAAAACTCTGTAGGTTTCACGATGCCGTGTTCTCGGAGAACGGTGACAGGCGGTGTCATTGCGGATCGCAGCACCTACGGCGTTGGTAGAACAGGTACTGTTTTGCGCGTGGAGGGACAAGAGGGCCCGCTTTCCCGTCGGAATAACTCACAGATTGTCCCGAGAGGCCATGTACAGGCGAAGGCCAATGCATGGAGCCAGGGGCGGCGGTGCCCGTGGAAGTAGAGATTATGTAATATGCATTCACTAGAGAGTTTGACGAACGCATCGACGGAGCCCGAAGGGTACAGTATGCCTTTTGTACCAGGGGCAAGTTGAGATGAAGAGTTCGGGATAGACTTCGCAGCGTGTTTTTTGGGGACGTATCTTCTTCGTTTCTTCTCTCCTGCATGCCCAGTTTTCAAGCAACTTTATTCTTGCCGCGATTTGTATCCAGCAGCGAAAGGGATTGCAGAACGGTAGGAAAGCAACCGGCATTTTGTTTTTGCATTCGTGCTTCTCTTCTTTCGCCTTGACGTTAGAAGGACAGCCCACGAGCAACATTATGTTTTCCCCTTTGCCACACACCCCTCTTCATGATATGTTTGGCACTTTTGTAGCCCTGCCGTCGCAGCTTGGACAAATGGCGGAGGTTCACATCGCCGTCGGAACGTCCTACAAGCATGTTTTTTTTTTTATGGCCCTGTGTTGGGGATAGACAAAAATATGCATACGGCGAGAAAAACGACCCCCCCGCTCATGATCTGTTGCTTTCATAGTTTAAGCACCTGAGGTTATTTTCTGTCGGTCGGTCTCTCTCTCTCTCTCTCGCTTTCTTTATTGTGGTGCAAAGATGGCCAAGTTCGTGGGGCCGAAGAAGGCTGTTGTCGAGGGCGTGGAGTATACTGCGGACCACGTCATGATCGCCGTGGGGGGGACGCCGTCGATGCCAGACGTGCCCGGAGCGGAGCTCTGCATCAACAGGCATGTGATGCATACCAGCCCACTCATTATTTATTTATTTTCTTTATCAATAGGCATGTTGCACATGCCATCACTTATGTAAAGATGTGTTTCTGCATCGACAAGCCTGCGATGCCAACTGATTTTTTTTTTTATCTCTCTGAATCATGAAGCACGTGGTGCACACCGCTCGCTCAGATGTTTTAGCAATACCTAGTTTGTGGTGCAACGTAGCAGGTTGTTTAGTTTAGGCGCTCGTGCCGACTGTTTTCCACCTGGTATATTGTTTTGTCTCAGCCGCGACCTTGTGAAGTTGAATTTTGTTCTTGTGGCACTTGTCGCACTTGACCGGTTTTCGTTAACCCACTGTAGCCCCGGTCGTGCCATTTTCTATCGTCCGCAAGCTGTCATCGCCGTGATTTTTTTTTCTCACTCTGCTGCTGGCTCCTGTGGTTTCGGTGTAGGTATGATGAACGATGAGTTATTTTCGTCGCGGAACAGCTAAGAAGCTGTCCGCCTGTTTCACTCGATCAAGACATGTTTTGTCATTGGTTCCTCTGTGTTTGGTCCATGTTCGTACCGTGAGCGTTGGGCTCTTCGACATCACGGAACAGCCCAAGAAGGTGCCCACCTGTTATTCCAATCAAGCCTTATCTCATGTCTTTCTGTTTCCTCTGGCTTTTGGTATTCGCCAACATGAACGATGGCTTCTTGGACGTCTTGGAATCAAGCCCTTTTTTGCACTCTTCTTTGCTCTCTTTTCGCTATGTATGTTTTGGTACTTGTTCGCAACATCAGCGATGGGTTCTTCGACGTCACGGAGCAGCCCAAGAAGGTGGCGGTCGTGGGCGCCGGTTACATCGCCGTGGAGCTCGCGGGTATCTTCGACGCCCTCGGCACGGAGACGCACCTATTCATCCGGCACGAGCGTGCCATGCGAACGCTGGACCCCCTCCTCAGCGACATACTCGACCTCGAGGTGCGGGCTCTTCGATTGTCTTTGTTATTGTGATTGTTATTGTTGTTGTTGTTTGTTGTTTTTGTAGCGCGTTTGCTGCTGTTGTTCAGTGGTGTGTGTGTGGGGGGGTTCAATCTAGGCGCCTGGTCTATGGTCAAAGTTGCCAAAACATCTGAGCGTTGGGCGGTGGCGCCACCGCCCGTCTTCCGTTTTTTTTTTCTCTCGAGCACACGTTGCACCTCCTACACAACCCGTTCCGTTTTTACGTGTCGTTGGCAGATGGCACGCGCGGGTCTGGCCGTGCACAAGAACTCGACGACGGAAAAGATCACCAAGGACGAAGCGACGGGAAAGCTCACCCTGCACACCAAGGACGGGCATGCGCTCGGCGACTTGGATGTCGTCCTGATGGCCATCGGTAAGAAAACAAGAGAGTGGATCTGTCGATCGAGATTCGTCGATCGAGACCTATCCATCGAGATCTGTCCACCGACTGGCTTCCTGTGTGTACACCCGAGTGCTCTGTTGGCCGTTCCCGGCCGGCGGCCCTTTGTCTGAAACCGGTTCATTGACGGATGTGGACTCAACTGCTACCACGTCTGTTGTTTAGATTATGTCAGCGGGGGCGTGGTTCCGGTGTTTCTTGTTGTTGGCCTTTCGGATGGCTTGACCCTCGCTGCTGCTGCTGTCTTGCATGATTTTGTGGGTTCGGTGTTCTCCTTCGCCGTTGGAAGGGCTTGACCTCAAAGAGACTCCGCTACTGCCTGCCTGTCTCGCGTGATTTTGATTGACTGGCTTGGTCGTCGTCTCTGTTAATTGGAGCTGGGGATGGTGGTGGGAGTTTGCTCCGCTCCTCCGCCTTGGTTAGTGAACGGCGGCGTGACTCCTTCTTGCCTCTCGTTTTGATTGGGTGATTGCTTGTTGCCAGGGAGGTCGCCGAACGTGGGGTCGCTGGGTCTCCCGTCAGCCGGCGTCGAGCAGTCTGAGAGGGGACACATCACCGTGGATGAATGGCAGGTGAGAAATTTGCGAGTGTTCGTAATGTTGTTGTTGTTGTCGTCGTGTATCCTAACGAACAGATGGCCTAAACAACAATGGTTGGGTGCGTTTTGGGTTTGGCATTGTTTTCAGTTTTACGGACGCAATGTAGGCCAGCTTGGGAAGCCCACTGTCGTTACTTTTTAGCCGGTCTTTCGTTGCTGGCGCCACGCGTCCCATTTCAGATTCGACAGCGAACTCGATTTTTCAATGTGTGTGGGTGATGCGACGAAGCGCCCGCGGACGCACGACACGGAATGTCATATGACGGGGCCTTTCTTCGGTATACCGGAGTTGTGTCACTGTTACGTAAAAAAATCTTGGTCAAGAAAGAGTACGTACAGCGCTCGCTCAGCTCCTCACACAAGCGAGTATGTACCGTGTAGCACCAACAACGTTTCTGTCGTATGCGGTGCGAGTTTCGCGTGTCTGATTGTCGGGGGTGCCTCGAAGGCGCAATACCGTAGTGTTGCATGAGATATCACACCCCCTGGCCAATTTTCAAAGCTCGATTACTTCACGACGAAGAGGGTTCCGAAATTGAAGCAAACGTTTTGGGAAAGCTCTCGACGAGACGGTTCCAACGCCGCCGTTTTCGGCACCGACACGGCTTTTCCTGCCGAGATATCGAGCTTCGACAAGTGGTCAAGGGGTGTGGTATCTTATCAACCTACGGTAACCCGGCATGACCGACGAAAATACAAAAGTCTCGGCCGGGGCACATTAACCGGGTGCGGTTTCCGAGCCGCGGGTGCCCCGTGGCGCGGGGGGCGCGCGGAAGAGATGAAACAGAAGGGCCCACTCTCTAAACTAGAATCCGTCGGTGAAGTGAGACACGGCAGAGCCTCAGTGTCAATGCTGCATCCTCCTGTGCTGCTGTGCGTGTTCGCCAGGCACCTTAGCCAAGGTAGCGTTTTTTTGGGTTTTTTTCTGCCAACCCGCTGATTATGCGTCGGCCCTTTTTTCTTTCGGTACAATTCTGGACGGGGCCACACAGGAGGAGGTGCTTGTCTATGTTTTTGTCGCGAGATACAACATGTTTTCCTCCTGCGCGGACGCGCGCGCGTGTTGTTGTTGGCCAGAATACTAGCGCCGAGGGGGTGTACGCGCTGGGCGACGTGACCGGCAGGGTGGAGCTTACGCCGATGGCCATCGCCGCCGGTCGGACGCTCTCGGACAGGCTCTTCGCGGGTATGAAGGACGCCAAAGTAAGTGGCCCTACGCTGGAGAGAGCTTTTTTTGCGGTTGGTTGGTAGGTCGTAGCCGTTGTTTTTGCCATCTTTCCCCGTTGTTTGCCGTTGCTGTTTTGCGTTAAACTGGCTGTTCTCGGGAGATGTTGTGACCGGTCGTTGTTTCAGTCAACGATTCTCACATCAGATACGGCAATGGAATGGAAGGTGCATGCATTCATTCGCAAAACGTTGTTGTTGTTATTGTTGTCTGCCGTCGTGTCACCGTATCTTGTATTCTGCTCGTTTTTTTTAACCCCTCCCCCCAGTGCCTCATGTTGTTTGACGGGCTAGACGAAGCCGGCGCTGCGTCTGCCGCGCGATCCCTACCCTCTCGCCCGAAGTGACCTGCAAATGTGTCACGGAGCCCCCCCCCTCCCCCCCTCCCGGCGCGCCTTGTTCAATAAGGCGGACTACACCAACGTGCCCACGGTGGTGTTCTCTCACCCTCCCATGGCGACGTGCGGATTGACCGAGCCGGACGCCAGAGCGGCGTACGGGGAGGATGCCGTCAAGGTTTACCAGAGCAAGTTCACCAACCTCTTCTTCGGCCACTGGCAGGTGCGTTCGTGCCGATTGTACCGCTCCGCGCATGGCGGGACCCGCCGGGGGGGTACTGCTGTCGCGATCGACAGCGTGCACAAGTGGGGCCCTCGGGAAATAATTTCAAATTTTCTTTTGCCGCTTTCCGCGTATGATTTTGGTTTTCGGGACGGCGTTTTGACACAAACGTGTTGTGAGAAAAGTACCAGACCGAGATAAGTTCCATGAACCCGTAGTTTCGGTTGGGTTTGACACTTGCTGCTGCACAGCCTTTTTTTTATTGTTTCTGATTTGGCGCGACCAATGTTGGTTGTCTGAATGAAAAAAAACGGTGCAACAAGTTGCTTCCTTTTCCAAACTTGTCACTAGGAGCACGGCAGTCGCGTTAGGCGTTGGCGGAACGAGCAGTTCGCCGCATGAGAGCGACCTTACTCAAGCTTTGGGCGTGGCTTCCACTGCACAAGGACAGGATGCCGGTTCTCGATGAATTGATAGCGGGCGTGACCCCAACAGCTGGACGTTAGCATCGAAAATGAGTTTTTAATATTTGACAGTTTCACTGGGGGGAGGTATTTCCCTTGGGCAGTGTTGGCATCCATCTTTTTTTTGGGACGTTTAATTTGGCAGCACGGATTAAATGGTAAATTTTTAGGATTTGGATTTTTACAGCACCCCCCCCCCCCCCCGCAACTCGCCGAATACCTCACGGCGCTTCGCGCTTGGTGATGTGAGAGCCTGGTCTGGTGAGAACCCGGCGTGCTCCGTCCCGGCTTTGTAGGGATGCGAGGTCAATGGTCTAACGACTACGGCATGCACGATTATGAGTACCCCCCCCAATACACATAACAATAACAAACCACACACGCACATGATTTTTTTTGTGGCGTGTATGGCTGGCGTGCGACAACAGATGCCCCCGGAAGACAAGGAGAAGACGGCAATGAAGGTGATCGTGACGGGCGAGAGCGAGAAGGTGGTAGGCATCCACATCATCGGCATGGGAGCCGACGAGATGATGCAAGGCTTCGGCGTGGCCATGAAGGTCAGTTCAGGAGTTCACTACACAGCCAGAGGGTTGAAAGCGTTTTCGTTTTCTAACATGTATCGCACGGTACTGCAGTGCCAATTGCCCCATCATTTTTTGTTATTTTCGAGATGCATCAGTGCTGTATTGCGTACGATAGAACAATCCCTGGTATGTTTTGCCTGTTTTTTTTTGTCAAAATGACTAAAGACTAGATGAGAACACGAGCTGTTTCATGCAGCGTTATCGCAACACCCCCAGCCACTCGCCCGTTCGCCCTTACCTTCTCACCAGGCGTCCATGCGTCGTGCTTTTTTCCTTCCTCTCGACGACGCCATTATCTCTCTTATGAACTCAGTAACAAGCAACCCTCGTCTCAGCAAATGCGATAGCAGAATGTTGCGTTTTGATGCAACATGTGATTGCTGATTCGCTTATTTTTCGTAGCAGGTAGGCGCGCGTTTGACGCAGCGGATGATTTTTTCAAGCTTGAGGTTAGACGGATTCGGAAGTCTCTTACAATAGCAAAGATGTTTACAGACTGGAATGATGAACTTGTCACCCCCGCTACAAGTCCATCGATATGAAATAATCGAACAAACCTGAAAATAAGTGACCCCTCACATACCCCGGCTTAACCCTCTCTGCGCGCCGCAACGATCAGATGGGTTGCACGAAGGCTGACTTGGATTCCTGCGTGGCGATCCACCCCACGGCCTCGGAAGAGCTAGTCACCCTCGCCCCTTGGGGGCTCGAAAACGGGAAGCGAAGCGGGGTGTAAGGGCGGCGGGGAGGGGGCTGCAGTCCGTTCGCCGCCTTCTTGTTGTTGAGCCTGATTGGCGACTGTTGTTGGTGTTCTTGCGGCTTCCTGCAAGTGACTTGGTTGGCGGACTGACTGCACTCCGCTGCCTGATCGGTTGTTGTTGTTGGTGGGGGTGGTGATGCTGCTGCTAGTGAAGTTGAGCCTTTCTGCAACGGCTTTGTTGTCGTCGCTGCAGCAGTCTACATAGTCTTGCCGCGTTCTGCCTGCTTGGTGCAGGATTCACTCTTTTAGAGTCGATTTCCCCTGAAGGAATAGTCTAGAACAGATTTGTAGCGATTGTGATGAAACGATTGGTGCAGGATTCACTCTGTTGGTGGGTCTAGTCCCAGAGGAATAGTCTCGACCTAATAGCGACTATGGTACAATTCTCGCAGTTATTTCCATGTCTCTACAATTGTATCCTATCTACACTTTTCCCCAGAGCGTCTTGCTCTTGGTGATGATGTTTGGCTGGGCTTCCCCCGTGCCCCTTGCTACTGCTGCAGTGCTGTTGGCGTGGCCCCCGTGTTGGGGAGCGAGCCAGGAGGAGGAGACATCGTGCATTGCTGTGGCAGTGCCGGTGGCGCGTCGATCGCGCCTACTCCTTGTCTACTGCTTCCATGCGTGCCTCCTGAAGGCGGAATAGAGGTCCGCAACAGTCACAGCAACCGTCCATGTACTTGTATTGCCTGTTGCTGGGGCGCACAAGAGAGATGGATGGGTGTTGACGAAAACGCTGCACAATACGTAGGAACAGTTCGCAGCTCATTGCCGAGCCCCGCTGAGCGTAGGGCAAACTACGTACCTGTGCCTATTTCTTTCGCTAATTCGAAGCTTGTTTTTTTTGTCGCGTCGAGAATCCGAGATCCCGGGATTTGTAGGCTCCTACAGCGACCCCAGATCCCTGGTGAAAACAAAAAGAATAACAGCCATGCAGTGTTTCTCGTCTTGGCACCGCTCTTTGTTGGTGGATTGCCGATTGTGCCATTTGCTATCGAACGCTACGCAACACACCGTGTCTCTTGGTTTCGTATCTGGAACTACTACCTGTCAAGTCCCGCACATACTGAAGGCTGCATCTGATGATACCGTTGATAGGAGATGGACGGTAACTCAACATCCGTCTGCTGTTGCGTAGGCACAAAAGCAGGCACGAGGTTGGTTGGTTCTTGCAACCGCCCGGTTCTAGTCTTGGCCATCTGCATCCACACGATGGGTTATCCCCCCGATGAGTATTATTTCCTCGTATTTGATGGAAGTGTTGATGGGGATGGGGGTGGTGACCGATGACTTAGTGAGTGACAACGTCTTGTCTGGCTTGGGCTCTCGGGTCACCTCTCTCCGCATGGTCTTCGAGTCTTTCGACATGATGACAAAGGTAGTGGATGGAACAAGGGCGGCGTGCGAAATGTTTCACGGAATCGTTGATAGGGTCGCGGCCTACTCGCCCCCGCAAATATACGAACAAGAGCCCCGGCGGTCGGTATGATGCACGGTTCCTCGAAGCTGTTGCCACGGAAGGCGTCCGCGATTGGGCGAGTGTCGAATTAGAAGGTGCTAAGCGAGACCGGAATGAAAATCAATGTGGAGGCAGCATGAAGAATAACGACATATCGCACGACCAGAATTCCTGAGCTCGGTAGCCCGGCCAACAACCTGAGATTCTATTTTCCCGATTTTTCTTTGCGGAAAATATGTATACACAATTACTGATGCTAACGTAAAAGAAAAGCGCAACAGCACGATCCAGGTGGGTCCTTGCGCATCCTCCTTCGCTACACACTGTGGCGTGAGAGACAAAATATGGTCGTAGGGAGGATGGACGAGCGATGGATAGACGAGTTGTCATTGTCGTCAATGCGCACCGATTGGTTGCTCGCCAGACAACATAATGCTATTTCATGAAGTCTTGGCCACCATACAGTCATCACCCATCACCGGGCGCCAAGATGACTTCCCTGCTTGGCGCAGTCAATTCGACCTATGTCAACACTTGCTCAACCGCACCAGTAAAGCTTTGTGTACCAGTGCATCGAAGACATAGTCCATTCTGTCACACATGACCTACGGTTTGTCCGTAAACCCGTGCACACGGCCGTGACTCCGTGAGAAGTCCGTGGCTTTGTTGTGGTGTTGATCACATCTTCCATGGTGTAGTAGAGCAGATCCCAACTTGGAGTCCCATCAACCGCCTCTGCCGTCAATAAGCTGCTTTGCACGATTCTCGTGAAGCCTCATCACGAAGCGTTTTGATCCGCACGCCGATTTCTGGTGGAGCCAAGCCTTTGTTTGTCAGGTTACGAAGCAGAGCGAGGCAGTATTTCTCTGGAGGAATCAAGAAACGGAGCGAGTTGAACCTTTCACTTCGAACACGGAACGTTCTATGAGAATTGGCGGAAATTTCCTGTGTGCTGAGCCCCCCGTCGCTTACAAGTCGTCATTTTAGTAAGGTTTGCGGTACGCCGCCGACTAACGTTGCCCTCGTACCTCGCATTGTTCTCCTGCAGATCATTGCGAGTTGCTTTGTGTGTCGGAGCTAAAGCGGATACTGGGCTTCGGAAACGACGCCGAAGCCATCGCGTTCTCTGAAGCATACGGCCTGACCTTGGCCGGCGATGAGGTAGGCAAACGAAGGATTTAGTTCTTGCGTGTGTCCCGTTTCATCTCTTTTCTTCGTGCAGACGTTGCAAGAGCCTCGTTTTGTGTGTGGTCCCCTTGCCGAAATACTCAGAGTCGAACGCGAATGAACTTGTCGGTGGAACGCGAATGAACTTGTCGGTGGATGCCGTCAATGCTCTACCATGGTATGTGCCTTTTGTAGAGAAGGGTCGCACTCCTTGCCATGAGCAGCAAGCACAGAATATACGACTTTCCTGTGCACCCCATGTACATGTGTGCACGTCCCGGCCCGTCGTTCTTTTCAGCAGCACTTGCCTTGTGCGAAGAATGGTCACACTCGACGAACGTATTGTTTCTGCAAAAAAAAAGCATTTTTCACGATCCCGCTACAGGCAGCTTCCTTCTGCAAAAAAAAAAGCACCCCTACCTGTTGACCGGTCATGAACCTTTGTGCCATGGTGTACCTAATTGAGCGCCCCTGGCCGGACACATGAGTGGTACATGTACCGTAAACGTCACAAGATAACACACCCCGGTGATAACATTTTGGGTTTCAAAAATATTATCACCGGGTGTGGTATCCGTGGGGTGTGTGGTATCTTATGTAGCCCGGGTGATAAAGTGCAGCTCGCTTGGGCCCTTAAGGGGGTGTGATAAACCAGGGGGTGTGCTAGCACGTCCGAATACCACAGGGTGTGTTTTGGGTGTGATAATGAGGGTGTGTGATAAAAAGGTGTTATAACACTTGTAGAGTTGAACCGCTGCTGCAGCGCACTTGGTTGGTATTGCGGGGGTGTGATAGCAATGCCTGTACGAACACTTCTTGACTTGTGGTTTTGCGGAATGTAGTAAAACAAAGGAGCTCAACGGAGGTGACGAAACTCCTGAGCACATGACTCGGTGGCCACAGAGTGCGCCATCCGTCCTGCCCCCTCACACAAAAAAGTAGGCTCCTGCATACACTACCTTGCTACTGTACCTTGCTACTGGGTAGATCAAAAGAGAGTTACGCAGATGTTGTGCGTATGAGATACTGCCCACGCGGCAGATGTTGTATCACCCCGGTGATAGACGGAGGAGCCTGCGGCGTAACCTCAAGGGGTGTGTTATCTTATGTAGCCCCGGTGATAAATCGATGGTTTGTCTGAAACGCCGAAAACTATCACCGTGGTGTCGTATTCTGTGGGGGGTGTGGTTTCTTATATGGCTGTGTTATCTTGTGTCGTCTTCGGTAGTAACGACGGCCACGACAGCACCTATACTAGCAGCATCTCACCCACAACAGTATCAAACTCGTCATTCGTGATCACCTTTGCACGGTCCTTTTGGTCATGCACCTGTGTGCGTGCCATGGTGTGCCTACCTCAGCGCCCCCGGCAAAGGAAGATGATGAATGTGAGTCGCAAAGTCCATCTGTGCGTACTCTACACTACAGCAGTACATCGTACATATCTCACGCCACCGCATTTTAATCATAACGCCTCCGGTCACATTCACGGGGCAGGTCCGTACAGTCCCGTGGTTCGCTGTCGGCGTGACCGGCGTCAATACGAGACAGACACGGACAGCCTTCTTTTACCCTGCAGCGCGCTACGGCTGTCGGAGACCTCGGCTGAAGGATATATCGCGCGGGGCGTGTGGATATGTCGTCGTTATCTGGTGGTGCGAGGCCGCAAGCTGACAGCCTTGAGCATGATTCGTCGGAGCACCTCGTCGCGCGATCGGCAGAGCCCGTCGAGAGACGGTGTGGTGTTTTTGCAGCTGCTACTACAACCGACTGCCGTGACAAGGGGGATTGTAACGAGCCCGAAGGCGAGGTGTACGACGATGAGGGGGAGGAGGAGGAGGAGGAGGAGGAGGAAGTCGTTATGGGCGAAGAGGAGATGCTACAGATGCTGGATAAGGTGAGGATGCCGGTCGTTTGTAAATAGCGTCCCACATGCTGCTGTCATTCCCCATGCCCAACATGTAACTGGGCCAGGAGCAGTACGGGAGAAATTTTCACTTCTTCTTGGACTACGGGTTCTGTTGATGACCCAATGGCCCAATCAAATGCAGAGTAGTGCGGCTCTGCACTACCAGGGTTCTGCGCTAGGTTCGAGGTCCTTGTCTCTTATGGATGCTTGATTGTCTTTGCGGATATCGCTAGGAAGGGAATGGACAGATAGCTGTTGAGGAAACTTGTTGTTGATTCGTCTCTCGGCGGCTGCTGCACTCAACACAGCTGCATATCAACACTGCTGTTTCTGTTCAACCTATCCACGCATACACATGCTGAACTTAACCTGTGCCTAGATCTCTGCAGCCGAACTGGTACTCAACACATGCCCACTTGACCTTTGCCCTTGCCCGGTTAGCTCTCTCTTCTCTGAACTCATGGGGCTGACACACAACCAACTTTCATGCAAACACACATGTCATGTCGGGAAAAATCTAATTACGCCGCATCCTAACGCCAACACGCCAGAAAGCAGGGACAAGGTCCACACAGCCCCTGAAAACGAGCCTACTTCGTACCACATTACCTCCTGTGCGTAGACGAGAGGGACAAGAGTACTTGGCGTGGAAATGGCGGGAGAGAAAAGCATGAACGGAGCTCTCTCTCTCTCTCTCTCTCTCTCTCTCTCTCTCCTTATCTATCTCTTATATTCCTGTAGAGCTGTCTGGTTTCTGCTTTCGGTCGTCAACTTACCAAGCAGCCGGATGCAGCAGTTTCTTGCAGTCGCCATGTTGACGCGTGAGGCTGAACCACCCGACGTCTGGTGCACGAACGAGCATCACTCTTTCGGTGATGGATAAACACACCGATCAATTCCCGTCAAACGAGGGACCGCGCACAAGCTGTTGAGAACAGCAGACATTATTTTTAGCAGCACACCCGCGGGGCTCACATGTTGATCAGGTATGAGCCAGGGCGATAAGCATTGCCAGCTGCAGCACCACTGCTGTTGTCTGTGTCTCCTGAACCTATGTTTTGCACCTGGCGAGCAAAACAACTGCACACATCCGCTACAGCACGGCCCTGTCCCTAAAAGAAAGCGAAAACAAACTTTCGGCGGTACCTCCTGTCGCCCCGCGCGTGGTGCACAGATTTGTTTCGCCACGCCAACAGTCTCTAGCATGGGCCGATGCTCCCGCACCATCCTTTGTTGCTTAAGCAAGAGGTCTTTTGTCCGTACGTTTCATTTTGTGTAACGTTTCCGCACACCTCATACCCGCGAGGGAGACCTAACAGGTATGAACACGGGCTCAACTGCGTTCACGACTATAATACTGCACCTGATTCACTTTTATTTTCCTACCAGTAGCCGCATGTATATAGGGCGTAAAAAACGTTGATGATCAGCTTCTGGTTCATCCTTTTGAAACGCAGCCTAGGCCGGCGAAAACCTGGCATGTTTCTCCACCCCGGCTTTGAAGGGACGCGAGGTCAAGGGTCCAACGACTACGGCATGCGTTTACATGAGTACCCCCCCCGCGCGCCCACTTGCTACCGGAATTAGATGGAGCCCCCGCTGTCAGTATGCCAGCGGCTCCTGAAGGATGATGGCGGAGACGATGACCCTTGGCTGGTGCTTTCCGACAGCCAGCGCGCGTCGCTTAGGCAACGAGGTTTTGCGGTACTGGACGGGCTCACTCCGACCAGTCTTGCCGCGGAGGCGTACGAGGAGGCGAGTTTCGTTTTGTGCACCAGGGAGAGGGAAGACAGAGATAGCCAGATTTAGAGAGCATCAAACACATACAAGAGAGAGTGGAAAAGAGGCAACAGATAGATGAACTGAGAAAGAATCAAATCGCACACACAGAGAAAGGGAGACAGAGATAGATAGACTGAGATGGAATCGATCACAAAGAGTGGGAGAGAGAGGAGGCAGAGATAGATGGACTGGAGGAGAACCAAACACGCGCACAGAGAGAGGGAGGCAGGCGGAGGCGTTCGGCAGATGCGTTTTAACTTGCCTCTGTTCCCGCAAAGGGAGGTGTCAGGCACGTGCTCATAGCTGGCGCGGCCGACGCCTTCTGTTTCTCACGACGAAAGGTTTACCACCCGCTATTTTCGGCTCGACCTCTCTCTGTCTATGCCTGATGATGACGTCGGGGTGTGAAGCGGTAGGTTCGATGCTATCTACAGCTCCGATCGACGTCTTGAGACACTACTGTCTCCACCGTTACCACGCGGGGTCTTCCGCTTCGGGGGAGCGCTGCGTCGTGAATACCGATGGGAGTACGACGCAGTCACCAATCATGGCAGCGTCCCGGCCCAAGCGTTGCTGCCCACGGCTTGGTCTATCTGTACATCCGCCCCCCAAGTTCCCGCCTAGAACAGCGTACGCTTTTCGTGCTCGCTCGAACCTCGTCACACGCGGTGTCTCGGCGACTGCTCGTCTCCCCCCCGCGTTGCCTTTGTCACAGGCTACCGCCAGAGCCGCCTCAGGGGTCCTGGCCCCTGCCCATGGAGGCAGCGACGGCGGCGGCGGCACCAGCAGCATCAACGGTGGTGGTCACGAGATAGGCGAAGGAGATGGCGCTCTCAACGAGGAAGGCTTGAAGGGCGAACATCCTCCGGCGGCGGCGCCGGGGCTGACTGGCTACGTGAAGTCGGTGCGCGATGACCTCACAGTGTTCGTTTCGTCCGAACGAGAGGCGGGGGCGGCGGCGGGAGGCGCCCAAGGGGGCGCCGAGACCGGCGCAGTGGGGAGGACTCTTGCTATCCTGGCGAGGCTCGGGGAGGATTTGGGGCGGATGGTGCGGCTCAGGGGTAGGGTGGAGCACCAGGTAGGGGATTGCCGCTATCGACGCCGTTGGTAGTTGTTCTAGCAGGATCTGTGATATGTAAACCCGATTGGCCAATGAAAACTCGTCGTGTTTGGGGGCTGCGTGGGAACAAGAAGTACTCCGAACGTTTGTAGCGTTCGTCATTAGGGGTTGCCGTTTGGTGAGGGGCACATCCTTCGTTCCTGGCTGTTGCTATCTCGCCCCCCCTGCGGCGAAGCTGTTCGCGTACGCTTCTTTTTGTTGAGCTCGGTTTCGGCGGACACCTCGTCGTATTCGTGTGTTTCCCTCGGAGCGGAAGAGTGTTCGTACACGACCAACAGGCGTCTGTGCTTCAATAATATTCCTCGAGGACGACCCACTTTCAATTCACACTCATATAAATGGTCGCCCCCCTACCCCCACGGGGGTAATGGTCGAGCAGATTATGTTGGGCGGGGTCGAGAACCCTCACTCCGCGGAAAGGGGATGATCGCGTCACGTTGTGTTAAAATGGCCAAGCACCCTCGAGGTAGTTACACAGTGCTCATAACTGTCTCTGGAAGTGGAAGAACGAGAACATAAATTCCGTAATTTGCAGCTGTCATCCGTATCAAGATATAGAACACCCTTAACAGGATGCAGCGCACCCTTCATACGACTCACGGAATACCTCACGGCGCTTCGCGCTTGGTGATGTGAGAGCCTGGTCCGGCGAGAATCCGGCGTGCTCCGTCCCAGCTTTGTAGGGATGCGAGGTCAATGGTCCAACAAGTAAGGCATGCACGGCAATGAGTCCCCCCCCGGGTGTAACCAATCTCTGGTCCATCATGTGAAAACGTATCCTGGGCCGGCGAAAACTGGGGATATGGCTCCGTCCACGCTTTGTCCGGATGCAACGTCGATGGTCTAACATCTTCGATAAGGCATGCGTTTACATGAGTATCCCCCCCCGCTGATGGCGTCACCCCCGTGGTTGTGCCGCATGCAGCTCGCGGTGTACCCGGCCGGGATCGGTGCACGCTACGAGAGGCATCGGGACGCCTACCCAGACGATGGCGAAGACGATTACGGTACGCAAGCGTGGGAGAGCTTGTCGTTTCCCCACCATACTTTGCTCTTGCCCAGCAAGCACGGGATCAATTCTCCTATTTGGCCTTCCTCTTGTGTGACTCCGGCTGGTGCACCCAGAAAATTGCACCCAGCGGTACAAAGACCGACGCTCACAATACATGGAATGGCAAGAAAAAAGGGAGGGGGGGGGATCACTCAGGTATACGGGCGTCTCAAGAAGGACTGTCTCGCTGTAGCTGTCGGTTGCAGATCGGTGCGCGATTTGCCGGGTGATGCCCCCATTGCCAGGTAGGTGCATCGCTTGACCGTTAACGATAAATTGAATCTGTGACGACGACCATATAACGCCAACTGCTTGATCGATCAACCCCGCCAATCAACCAACAGACGAAGATCCTCCGGCCGCAACCGATGGCGAGGTAAATGCTAACCATAACACCGAGGCGGAAGAGGGAGAGGGAGCAGACGGAGGCAGCGTAAGCTTCCGCAGGATAACCGCAATCTGCTACCTCCGTCGGAGCGGGGCCCCTTGGCAGGCGTCCGACGGGGGGGCCCTCCGCCTGTACCCTCCCACCGCGTCACCCCTCGCTCAAGAAAAGCAACGCGACAACGGCAACAGCGGCGAGGTTGTGTGGAAGCTCGCCTCCTGGCTCGATCTTGCGGAAGAGCACGAGGATCGCCGACAGGACCAGCAGCAGCCCACAACCCGAGACCGCTGCTCGTCGGACGCCGCCCCCGCCGCCGGTGGCAGAGACGCAGTGGTAGGCGACGACATTATCGACGGGCGTACCGGTGGTAGCAACAGCTACCGTATCTCTTCGTGCCGCAGTGGTTCCGGAGGGGAAGATGGTAGAACCGGCGGTGGAGATATCGGTCACGGTAGCGGCGGCGGCGGGGGCGGTACCGCCGCTACTAGTACGGGCGAATCAGCCAGCAGCCGAGACGATTGGGTAGGTGACGGTGCTCAGGATTCGGCTGCGGGAGGTGGTGGTACTAATAGTGGGGGTAACGAGGCCGGTGGCGAGGGACCCCGCCAGGGATTCATCGACGTGCCCCCCCTCGCCGGACGCGCGGTCGTTTTCTTCAGCGGCGCCGTGGAGCACGAGGTCCTGCCGGTCACGGGGCCGTTGCCGAGGGCGGCCTTGACGACGTGGTTTCACTGACGACGATGGAGAAAGACTAACGGACAGAGCGGCGGGTCGTCTCCAACTTGCTTTTCATCTTTGTCAACTTGGCTTTGGTGTTTCTGGGACAGATTTCCGAGGCCTCGCGTTTGTGGCATTTGGTTTTGGTGTTATTTTTGGTTTCTGAAACCTTTGGCGATGCTGCTGCTGTTCGTTTTGGGCTTTTGGGTTTTGGAGTCTCGTTCCGTAAACGTCACGTTTTTAACAGGTGTGGTGGTTTGTGTTTGTCTACTCATGATTGTAGAGATCGTGGTTGGATGATCAAGAGCAACGTCGCATAACTTCTTTCCGTCTTCGTGCGAACACTCCTTGCTGGAACGACCGCATGTGTACGTTGTGCAGCGATCAAGCCCAGTGCAGTTCGAAGCTATTGTACTACAGTAGCATATCTTGCTGCAGGGCAGCACCACGGGGTCGGAGAAGGCGGCTCGGCGGCAACTACCTTCGGAATTACAGTAGACTAGGGCTTGTGATCCCACCTACCTGTGACTTTCGTTGGGCGAAAGAAAACACAACGTTCATGTTTTCCTTGCCAGGTCAGGCGGCGAGGGCTTCCTGTAGGCGTGTCGAGCTCTTTCCGTAGTCCCTCGGTCGTGGGGTAGTCGGTCGTTGAAGGTCGGTCTAGTAGGGGTGCCATCTTTCCGCCTCTTACGGAGTACGTGACTGCAAGCACGCGTCTGTCTCTGCTACTTATAATTGGTTATTTTCGGCTCGAAGACGCGTAAAAAAAATCTAGAAGAACAAAGGCACCTAGTTTAGCAGCAACAGCGGTGACTACAGCCTGTGCCCATCCCCGGAAATAAGCAGGTGATGGGATCGTTCCATGGAATCGTCCCATTTTCCAGAGCGAACGGGGGGTCTCCAAGGAGTGCTTGCTCGGACAGGAAACGACACCATCAAGAAGTAGACCTGATAGCACGTTAGCCTGGGTGCCGAAAACGTATATCCTGTGAACAACAAGGCCGTCATCGTGATTAAATTCAAACACAACAAAGCCTGACTCTCTGCTTCGTACAGAATTGGTACGTTCGAAGCACTCCTCTGCTTCGTATGTATATCTTCTACGCATGCGCCCAATGTACCATTCCTACATTTCTCAACCAGCAACACTGTTTGAGACTCTTTGTCCTCCGTGCAGTTTTCCTGTCAGTGCACGAAGCTCTCTCGAAAACAAAGCAAAATGTCACAGGCCCTGAACCGTCGGCTCACCCACACCGAACAACAGTATCATCAATCTCTTCGCGCTATCTGCCGCTTCCCTCCTTAACAACTGACAACAACCTCTCTATGTAGCTGTAGCTGTATTAAAATCTGTGTGACAACATAACGAACAGCAACCCCGTGGCAGATTTTCTCTCACTCACAACCATGTCCCGAACAAAAAACACGAAACCTCCCACATCTAAACTCTCCGGCCTGCCGGGAAACGGCCAACCCCCAAGAAAAGGCTGCAGTACAGCAGCACTAGCAGGTGTCTCATTTCACTCCCAGTGGCAAACACACCCAGCACGCCATTTCACCTATTGTCAAAGGGCGAATCTAATCCCGGACGTGGTTTGGCCATGGGCTAACATGGTCAGGACCAGTCATAACAATATCTCGACGGACCTGAACAAATCAGGTCGAAAATCGCCAGAACAGAAACGAGGCACCTTCTGACCGTTTCGACCCTACGCGTGGCCTGCGACACACAAGCGCGAGTGGAGCCAAAATCTAGCTGGAGCTCCGCCGTGTCAGTTCGGCCTTTCCTCAACTACAACAGCGGAAAATACAGAGCACCCTCTTGTTGGGAGATGCCTCCACTAGGAAAGGTGAGCGTCATCTAATCAGAGACCCGCGCTCAACGGTCAAACTCTTAAGGGCAAGTAACAAATCAAAATGCCCCCCCCTCCGTCCGCGCCATGCGCAATGGTTCATCCCCCCTAGGCACTGGCCTTGGGAACGTTCGTCATTCCTGAAAAAGAACCGCGTGTTACAGCTTGACCCCCCGGGGTGAATAACAAAAGTGCGTGCGGGGGGGGTACTCATAGTCGTGCATGCCGTGGTCGTTAGACCATTGACCTCGCATCCCTACAAGGCCGGGACGGAGCACGCCGGGTTCTCACCGGACCAGGCTCTCACATCACCAAGCGCGAAGCGCCGTGAGGTATTCGACGAGTCGCATGAAGGGTGCGCTGCATCCTGCTAAGGGTGTTCGGCATCTCTTGCTTACTTCCTTGCGTGCGTATGACAGCTGCGTATGACTTCATTTATTTTCTGGTGCTTTCACTTCCAGAGACAGTTATAAGCACTGTGTAACTGCCTCGAGGATGCTTGACCAATTTAACACAACGTGGTGCGATCATCCCCCTTGCGCGGAGTGAGGGTTCTCCACCCCGCACAACATGATCTACCCGACCACCATTATGGTTACCGCGAAAAAAAAACAGAGGTAACCCCCCCCCCCCCGATAATCTGGTTGCCGAGTTCACGAAGTGAATTTGCTTGTTTTACAACGTCGTTGCCAAGCGACGAAAACCCAACCCCGATGGCAAACACGGGGGAGGGGGGCATGTGGGGGGGGAGGGATAAAAGGCTATACCGGGAAGAAACCTTCTCTGTAGGGCGGGCCGGGCCATCCGCGTGTTTCTCGATCATGCCGTGGGCAACCCTCGGACCAACGCTTGCATCCCCTGCACCGAATGCGCTCTGCAGAATTCGGTCTCCTCCCCCCCGAGTCCGTAAACACCTACGACGGGCGGCTGCCGGCATGCCTTGTAGGAGCATCTGGCGCTGTCCAAGGTAGGGGTAGGGACCACCACAACGAGGCATGACACGGGGGGGGGGGGGGGGATACTTTTTTTTTTTCTGCCCTACTCCCTCGGGCCCTCTTTTTTTTATCCGTG